ACAGTACCTAAAGGCATCGGTACATAACAACGTTCATTAAAATTTCGTGTCAACAGAAACTCCTGGAAAGAAGGTCATACGTTTTACACATGAGGTGGATTTATGAGGATAATTTAGTAAATGTTATTTATTACACAGCCATGTTTATTTAAATAATGTTGTAATAAATATTATAAATAAAGAAATGCTATTGTAAGATGAACTTCTTGGCACCCCATTTTTCATTTCTTTTGTTTCCAAGTTTCAGTTCATTTCAATTCAATTCTTGGCGTTCACCATGTTGTTGCCGAGTCCATGGAGAAAGAAACTCTAAAGAGTTCCAGGAACTTGAGACCCGGTTGTAGGTTTAAGGAGCCCCTTGTCGATATACATCAACACTCACCTTCACCGCTCGTGTTTCTTTCCCTGCCTAGCCAAATCTAATAGGAGCTCGCTAATGTAGTGTAATGTAATATTTTAGATACACGTTCTATTATACAACTTATTACAATTCTAGACAGGACAAGATTATGAAACTATGTTCCAGCATTATACTGAGTTGTGGTCCACATTGACCCTGTTTTTTTAATGTGTAAATTATTCTTGTATTTTTTATGTTATTACTGTATAAAACGAGTTAATAAATTCTATTCCATTCTATTCTATTTCAGTGGTATATAGAATAGAATAGAATAGAAAATCATTTATTCAAATAAATTTACATTGAAGCACTTTTGAATAGTCATTACATTTTTTTAATCTACCGCTCATTCGGAAAGCTGTCTCATCACAAGAAGAACGAGCAAGAAACTTGCGTGTTGCTCTTTTAAATAATTTTATTATTACTTTACATTTTTAAGTTTAAGTGTGTGAATACAAACCACCAATTAGCACTAATTCAATTAAATACTCAAATAGAAAAAATATTGAATATATAACTTATATTATCTGTGATATAACCAACTGGTTAAACAATTAATAAGAGGAAACCAGTCATAGTGATTAGAGCAGACCAGTCCCTACAAGCAGCACCCGTTCACGAGTATGACGGATGAGCCAGCCATAACTGCGCTCGACCATATTTTAGGGAGCCCAATGACCCGGCCCACCACGCCGCCACAAGTCTGGACATTTTAGTGAGCATGACTACTCAAAACACTAGACCACGTCAAAGCTACTTACAATTGCCATCTGATAGTTATAGTATCCACATTTTACATAAGAATGCATGCGGCAATCAATACAAAAACCGCTACGCTTTCATATTTCTAAAATAATTAAATCAAGAAAGCAATGAGAAAATTAAATTATAACGTTGTATGCTAATAAACTAATTATGTACTTGATATGTTGTCATCTATGAATTCGTCTATCCTGTAATAGGCTTTCTTACATAAAAATTGTTTAATATAAGATTTGAATTGCCTATATGATATGTAAATGGTATTTATAATGTAATTTGATTAGCAAACAAGCTGATGGCTCGTTTTATTATTACAAATGATACGATTATTTTCTTTTCTAAAATTGACGGCTTATGAAACGGTAAGCGGTAACCATTGCCTATGTACGTGAACAGGCTACGACATCACATTAACACATGACATTCGAGATACTAATTTGAAATACGTTGCCATTCTAAGGTACTATGATGTCATGCCTCTTATCCTGAAATTTCACTACCAAATAGTATCCTATAACCGAAACACAGCTGAAGTAGGCGAGACTGAGGTACACACAGACAACTTTATAGAGTCTCCTAGCGACATCCGTGATGCTATTAATGCACATTTATTGACCCGTATACCGTATTACTTCCGATGGTCGCAGGTTCGATTCCTCACACGGCACAAACATTTGTATTCATAAGTATGAATGTTTATCGATCTGGATGTTTCCTAAGTTTATTATGTATGTATTAAAATGCGCCTATATCAGTTATCTAGTTACCCTTACACAAGTTCAGCTTAGTTTAGGACTAAGTGTGTGAATTGTACTGAGATATTATTATTATTATATAGATCACGCTTGTTTGCAATTCAAAATATATAACACAATATTAAATTAATTATCGTGTTATAAAAAAATGTTCTGAAACATACTTCCGTACTGAAAAATATTATACCCGTTCTTAAAAATACATATAAATGTTTTCTAAACGATACTTTAAAACAGCAAATTTGTGTATATATTTACAGAATTAAATAAATATAACAATAAATAAATAAATTTATTTCGCTACAATCATACCTATTTACAGGACTTAAATTAACATTTTCGTAAATAATTGTGATTGTGTGAGCTTGGGAACTGATTGAAATTATTGGAATCGTATTTTTCGATATCGGTTATTGAAGTCGTTACAATTATTAAACTTAATTAACGAAGTAAATGATAAACATTCAATGTGTCCCAATTATTTCTTGTTTATTCCCTCTCTAAAGTAGGAAAGAATTTTAGTAATATTGTAAACGCGACAGTTTACCCAAAAACTACTGAACGGATTTTGATGGGACTTTACTGTAGTATAGCTTATACATTAAAATAACACATAGGGTAAAATTTCAAAGGATATCTAAATTGGGTGAAATTTAATGATAAATGTGAAGTAAGTATGATGCAGACGAAGTTGTGCGAGTGTACTAGTATTCTTAATATTTATTTATCTAATTTATAATACGTCAACGATCATTGAACGATGTATTTAATATTTGATTTGATCACGAGTATCAAATATTCAATAGGCTCTGACAGTTGGAAGAAAAAGTCGAGTTTGATAATATTTTTCCGTTTTGAATGACAGAATAATAGATTTCAGAAATGACTTTGATGAAGACGAACTTATGTTTGTAGTTACTATGCTGCTTTTCCATTGACGATTTACAATCGACGAGCGTTCAACTGACGCGGATTCGAAGCCCGTGTAGTACATATTTATTAGCGACATACTGTAAAAAGTCAGATGCCTCGGTCTCACCTATATTAGCTGCCAAGTAGGTTACTTTGTAAGTTGTGTTTCTGTTGTAGCGTGTGGGTAAATAATAAAATTACTGGTTAAGAGACCTGACATCTTAGTCCGTTGGAGTAGCAATGTATGAGTGGTATGACGAGAGTTACATAATAACGTGATGTCGGTAGTGCTGTTCATATATACAGGCAATAGTTATCATTTACCATCAAGCGGACCGTTTGTTTATTTGCCGTTCAAATTACATAATGAATACTATTAATTCAAATAAATACACACGTATTTGACGGTAGATGAAAAGACTGCTGTCAGCTACCTACATTGACATTACTGTTACTCTAGTCTGCTCGTGACCACGGCTAGTGCAACCTAGTCGAAACGTCGGGAGAGGTAAATACCGTTATTTGCCATTAAATTATTCGTGTTAAGACCCGGTTGATAATATAAATAACTAAAGTGTATTTATTACCTAAAAAAATTACAGTCGGCGAAGAAAATTACAAACTAAAGTGTTATACCAAAATCAAATTCAAATTCACAATATTTTTATTCATGTAGGTCTATTACAGACACTTATGATATGTCAAATCTACCGTCAGTTGGGAATGATTTCGAGATGAGAAGAACTGACAATAAACTTTATATTTAAATATTAAAAGTTTTTAATACGTAAACTGTTAAATAAATACTATTGATTCAAATAACACACGGTTTAATTATTAAAAGTTTTTAATAAGTACATAATACAATTTAGGTTCTATATTTACAGCTTAGTATTACAATCATAAAATATTCACAAACGATACTTATATTTATACAGATTCATACCTATATAGGAAAATCGCTGATATCTTTTGAAGTATAATATAATATAGTTATAATCTGTGATTGGGAGATAGCATAGAAGACCAAAGATAATATATAGTTTTCTTTTGAAAGCTTAGCTGTAATTTGTTATATCTAATAATGTGTTTAACATACTAAATTACAGCTAACTTTTCTTCTTATATCTTTTTGGAATAATAGTCTTCAAACACATGAACAGTTCTTCTTAATCGTTCCAGTTTTACAGTTGACAAATGGATTTCTACACATTTCATATTGGTATGTTTTTTAATTTATATTTCAATTATATTTGTGACTAATTTTAAAATAAAAAATTAGTACGTATCTTATACTACTGAACTAATTGCAATAAGTGTAAAAGTATCATCAAATAGATTACAGAATTGGTAGATTAGTAGACATAAACTGACAAGTTAAAAAATAAAATTAATATAACGTTAAAATAGGTATAAAGAATCATATATACATTATAAAAATGCAATATTCTCCCAGTATTGTAGGTACAGCCTAAATAATATATTTAGGATTTATTACCATTGATCTTTCTAGATAAGCAGATTGATTGATTGTTAATTGTTAGAATTAACCTTTTCTTTTTCTAAAATATTTGTGCTTTAGCATTTGGGGTTCATCCTCAAGTGATAACACATAATATCTTGCTCCACAACCATATGAAGATGTCTACACAAGTTTTGTTTGTATTTAATGGTTCAATATTATCAACAATTACAACAAGTTGGATGTCAGCCAAATGGTTGTAGTCAAAAATTTATCGACAGTTTCCGCATTTATTTTCACGTTTATTTGTTGTCCTACATTTACAGGCTATTTTCCAATCTGGTGCAACAATAAAGTGGTTTTTAAAACTGGAAATAACATACTTATCACTAAATAATTTAATTAAATATCTTAGCAAATTATTTCGTCTTACATTCTAGACAATTAATATATCAGTTCCAAGTGTTCTTATTCGAATCAGATACTTGATAAAATGCTTTTTACATGAGCTTCCTAAGAATCGTAGCAAATAGATAGTTTTCAATCTAGTTCAACCTGAAGATGGAGTTAGTCCAAAATAATATCAAGGGCAAGCAAATAGTAGGAATATAGGAACAATTAGGCTGAGACTAAAAGAACGTATGAAATAATACTATCATATGCAGTCTAAATAGAGACTACAGGGGAAGTCGAGGAAAAATAATCAATCAGTCGCTTAGTCTAACTGTATCTTGACATAAACAATAAAGACATCACATATAAAGATCTTGGTCCTCGAATTCTCGATATTAGACCTCATTCAGGTACCTTGCATCTTTAAATTGGATTCCACACATTTTATCTTTTTAAATAAATTGACTGTTCTCATAATTTCATATAAAATTAATATAGTATACTACTTATTAATAATATTGACACTAAATATAAGTTACATGTTTTAAAATTTGAGCTTGATTTCCAATAATTTTCGTCTTTCGAGGAAAGCATTAATGAATCTTCACTGTTCTGCGCCAATTTACTTGCGCAACGTAATGATTCTACAGGTATATTGACTACTGCTAACTGACTGATAATAGTTGATGTTGTAGTCTCTACTTTATGCAGACGATTTAATTCTTCATCCTCATTAGAATTTGCATTGCTATTTGATATAATTTCGAAAAGTTCATCCAATTTTGTATTGCCATTGTTGTATTCTATATTTTTAGTGGAATCAGCTTCATCTGCATCAATTATGCAAGTAACATCATCTAAAGCTGCTTTAAGCGGCTCACTAGCTGTTTCATTCCGAAGTACTTGAATCCATATTAGCCGACAATCGCACCTGAGCTTGTTACCTGTAACAGAAAACTTTTAAGTTTGCAACTCTTCAACAACAGACACAGAATAATAGACCTGCGCGCTACTAAAAGAAATTTAATGATCAAATTTCTGAATGCCTACTATCTTAACTTTATCCATAATTCATTTCTTAAGAGTTTCCCCGAGTTCATTGAATTTTGCATAAATTTCCTTTATTTATTGTTTCGATGTTTATTACAACAACCTGTTCGCACAAATTTGCTTTAAATCTCTCGTTAGTAGTAAGAAACCTCTAGACAATTATTAACTGCTATTTTATAGAAAATTGCTACTAAATATTAGATTTCAATCTCGAAACTATTGGGTATTATGAGGATTTTGAGCAAAATTACTGTGAGTGTCCTAACAGTATTTATCTAATTTGTTTCATACAATCAGTTTCAATTAACTGCTTGATTAGAAAATTAAATTTGCTGATAATGTTTGCAAGTGAGATTTAGTAAATTAATGCAATTTATGTAAAACACTTATTGAGGAGTAAAGGCGTTTCAAAATCCATTAATTCATCTATTTCATTCAATTCAACTTGTTATTTAATAACTCAATTGTGAGTCTAAATCTATCTATTAAATAATAGAAATTTCATCTACATCTGATTTAAATCATCCTTCATCTCCCTGAATAATAGAGATAATCACTAAACGTGTATAGAAATACATTTTTTTTAATCATAAAGGAAATTTTACTTTTATATAAAGGTGTAACTAAAAAACTTGATTTTAGCTTTAGTAAAATCTATTAATAAATTCGAAAATCTTGTGTATATATTTTATTATTGAGATGACTGTTCTTTTATCTATTTATAAACAATTACTGACAATCCATAAAATGGACTGACTGCTATTAAAATATATATATTAAATTTGTTTATATTATAATACATAGATTCATGCTATTGTCGGTAGATTACTTTTTTTTTATAAAATTTTATATTATATGCTTGTACTCATTTCAGCATATTTACTATATAATAGTGACCCTATGTGCGCATAAAGCCATCCTGCTTTTTACCACACAATAATTATTTTTAATTGCAAATATAACGAATGTTGTTTTTAATTAAATAAATATATTTTTGAACGATATACCAAGAATATTATTATCTATATATTTAGATTGTATTATACTTATTGTATTTATTACAATAGTATGATTTTTAGCGAGACATTTTTCATTCAGAATTAAGTTATAAACACATTGTTGGCTTACTGAGGGCGCCTGTAACACTCATTAATTGTCTTTAATGCGTGAAGGGTGCTTGATGGGGGATTAGAACTCAGTAGGGTAGGCAGCATTGTTTGCACAAAATATAGTTATTTATCTTCCCATGGGTATACTGTGAATATATAGCACAATGTGTTATTTACTATTAAATAACTTGTCTACTTTACTTAATAAGGGTCGAGTATTGTACATTTATAATAGGTGAGTATTCATTATTTGATGCTTTACAATATTTTTGTTAGTAAATGACTCCGTTATTCGAGTCGAAAGCGTGTTTCTCTCCACACAATGAAATTACAATAGCTAGCGTCGAATAAAGTGTAATCCGTCAAGCGAGAGTTAACCTTCAGTCGTTCTACGATTCAGTAACAAACTCCAAGACTATTGCATTTATAAAGTGACGTCTTTGGTTGGTATAGCTGTTTAGCACTGTTTTACTTCCATTGGTCGCAGGTTCGATGTTTTAGTCTGGGTGTTTACTATGTATATTATGTACGTGTTTACAAAAAAGAAAGTATTTAAGAATTCTATCAGTTGTGTGATACCCATATCATAAGGCCTGCTTAGTTTAAAACTAGATGGCGTTGTGTAAATTGTCCGGGTTATAAAAAGATGTTAATAGTATATTATGAAGATATGAGAATCATTCCTTATCACGTGCTATTGTCTAATTTAGTTATGTATATTTGAATCCTACTAGACAGTGAGCTAGTCTATCGATGCCTCTCTACAAAATGGTGCATGATGAATGATCCTCTTGTGTCGATGATTGACAACCTCGGTGGTCTAGCGGTCTAGCACACCCTTTACGTCCGATGGTCACATGTTCGATTCCTCGCACGGCTCAAATATTTGTATTCATTAGTATGATTGTTTGTATCGGTCTGTGTGTTTTCTATGTATAATATGTATGTATTCACAAAAAAAAATTATCTATGTACTTGTATCAGTTATCTAGTACCCGTAACACAAGCTTTAACTAGCTTAACTTAGGACTAGACGGCACTGTATGAATTATCCTGATATTATTATTATTATTATTATCTTGGGTTATTAAAAAAAAATATAGTATGTGATGATACGCTCACGTGATAATATGCTCCAATTTATTTATGTATATTTGAATTCAACTTGACAGTCTACAACTGACTCTCATTCATTTGGTTTGTTAACGGAGTTTCAATCACCGAAAAGTTAGTCAAACATATAAATGAGTCTGTTTATCTGTATGGGTCAGATTTGAATCTACGCTTTTTCGTTCTAAATCGGAGTAGTAATCCACTAGGATATGATACTCTGTAGAATTTTATGAGACCGATTAAACTTCTCTTCTCTTCCGCTTGCTGTCAGAGTCCATAACTGATCTACGTTGAATTTTACTAACTACCAACTGTTTACTATAAAATTATGGAATGCAAAGTTTAAATAAATAAACAAACTAGCCCTCAAGCGATAAGTTAGTCAGAATTATAAATAGGTTCAAATTTTTTTGGTGTCGGTCAGATTTGAACCCGTACTCTTCCTTTCTAAGTCAGAATTGTAAGCCACTAGATGAATATGGTCTATAGAATTTTATAAGCCTCGATTAAATAAACTTACCCCTTACGGAGCTATTTATCTGGCTTCAACAGATCGGTCCAACCGATTTGGCGGGAAATCGTGTTGCGAGTAGAACTTTCTAGATTGACCCATCACAGAGGATATATAGTATATTTTATCTATTACTACCTGACTACGCAAACGTTGTTTTGCTATATAAATTAAAATTGATATAAAAAAATAGGATTGAGGGTAGAAGGTTGAAAAATTATTGTTACATTTTTTAATGCCACATTATAAAAGAAAATAAAAATAAAAATTGTTAAAAAAAAAAAAATTAAGGATGGACAACCCTTATTAAGGGTATGGAATATAGTTAGTAGCCGATTCTCAAACTTATTTAATATGCATATAAAAATTTCATAAAAATCAGTCAAATCGTTGAGGAGGAGTGTGGTACCTAACATTGTGACTCGATAATTTTATATATAAGATTAGCTGACTCGGCCACACATTGCTCTGACTGAGGTTCTTGAATAAAATAGTATTGCGTCTATAAATTGAGATGTAAGCTGTCCTATCTTTCAAGTTGGATCAAATTGCACACAATGAGCAAATCAAATTTGCAATCGGTTCAATAGTTTAGGAATTCATCGCGGACAAACAACGTGACACGTAATTTTTATATATAAAGATATATATAACAACACAGTTAATTACTGTGTCGTTATAGTGATATATATGTTTATATATAAAAACTATCTGTTCCCGCGACTTCGTCCGCGTGGAACTTAACTTTATTTTTCTAAAATAAAAGTAGCCTAAGTTCTTCTTTATTACATAAGCTGCCAAAAAAGGTGCCGTCGAAATCGGTCCAGCCATTTCAGAGATTAGCCGGAACAAATAGACAGAAAGACAGACAAAAATTGTAAAAAAATGTTATTTTGGTGTATGTACAGTATTTATATTCATATGCATGTAAAAAACGGATATTTCAATATTACAAACAGACACTCCAATTTTATTTATATGTATAGATTACGTGTCACGTTGCTTGTCCGCGTAATAAGCCGATACACGACTTACACCAAAAAATACATATATATTACTTTGTTCATATAGTCTGAGAGAGAAATTTCACATGAAATATGAAAAAATCAGATTATTGTAAGGTTTTTATGAGAGAATTATTATAATAACTGCTTATATTATATATAACATACGTACAATAAAAATGTATTTTCTTTGCCTTGAGCCTTTCAATGTATTTTTTTATACCTACTATGTTATACAAGCGATTGTGTTGGATTTATTTTATGTTCAACGAAAAATACATTTTTTATCCACTTGGGATTTTGTGTACAAGTTTTTAGAATACTTAACTAGTTTAGTAGTAATAGAATATTATAAAATGATTAAATTTAATACAAGTGATTAAATTTATAAATAGAAATGTTTTTTTTTTAATCGAAATTTATTTTGAGGTTTTTGTTTTCAGATATGTCAACCCCATTATTATAAACTAATCGGAGCCATTCTTAAAAATAATAATCAATCAAATATTTACCAACTGCCAGGGATCTATTTATTGAATTGCTTTCATCAGCGCACACAAACACAGAGCAATATCAATAGTAAATAAATTGTAGTAAATAAACCCTTAATAATTATACATCAATAATAATGTTAATAATAATAATCCTGCACTATTCACAGTTGTGCCTTCTAGTCCCAAGATAGGCAGAGCTTGTGTTATTGGGGACTAGACAACCGATGTAAATACATTCATAATATACTTAATAAACACCCAAACTGATACAAACAATCATACACAAGTATGTTTGTAGCGTGCCAGGGTTCGAACTCACTACGATCGGAAGCAAGTTCGTGTGCTAACCGCTAGACCACATATGTCGTTAAAGTAAGAAGGTAATTATAATATAAACCTACTGTTAAGGCCAAATGGATAGAAAAAAACTTTTTTTAACTGAGTCTGTAGTACCTAGTAGATCGAGATGTAGTAATTTACTATTTCCATTTAGATAAAGGTCGCACGTTCGAATTTGGCCGACGCCTGCCTCGTTGGATTTAAGTGTACTTTCTAAGCGTAATATAAGCATGCCAAATACGGTCGCCACTATATCGATATTTGACAATGCCTCTGACAACTTCGTATGGTATAACTACCGTAGATTTAATTCAATTAGGGCCATCTAGTTCCAAGCTAAGCAGAGCTTGTGTTATGATTACTAGACAACTGTTAGAAATTCTTAAATACATGTATATAAATACATTTATAATATACATAGATAATACCCAGATCAATAGAGACAAGCATACTCATTAATACAAATGTTTGCACCGTGCGAGATAAAATAATCGTATAATCAAACCTTCGACCACCCAAGTCAAGCGGTATGCTAAACTGCTAGACTACCGAAGCTGTCTAGCTTAATCTAACAGTTTAGTAGGAAGATCTCTAAATCCATCTCTACTGTTTGGTAAATAGGCGATTAGAGATGTATAAACTATATAGATTTTTAGTTACACTAATGGTACTCATTAAGAGATTTTTAACTAGACAATAATAAATATAAGTTACTTCCACTTACCACTTAGGTAAAGCACCGATGTCTTCACTTTCAAATTCTCCATTATTGGCTTAATGGTGTCATATGTAAATGTTACTATTCCATTGTTCCTCAGATCCAATAACTCAAGTCCTCGCACACCTTCCAAAAGCCCCTCATTAATGGCCGTCAATTTATTTCCAGTCATCGACAATTTCTGTAGTAGAGCGAGCCCGTCAAATGCCCTTTCAGATAAATATTTCAATTCATTATTGTCTAAGAGGAGCTCATTCAAATTCCACAATTCCGTGAATGTCAAATCTTCTATAGCTGACAACTTGTTGGAACGTAGATCCAATCTTGTCAAATTAGCCAAACCTCTAAAAGTGTCTTTAGTGAGTGTGTTAATTGAATTCGCTTCTAATGTTAAATCGCTAAGTGTAGTTAGATGTCCGAAACAACCGTCGTGTACCAAATGAATATTGTTGAAGGACAAATCCAAATTTTTAAGAGACGGTAAATCAACGAAAACATCCTTTTGTATTTCTGTTATTTTGTTCTCTTTAATAGTCAAATTAACAAGCAACGGAAGATTCGCAAATGAGGAGAAATCCAAATCTGTTATTTTGTTATTCATTAAAATGATTTCTCGCACAGTTGTCATGTTATAGAAAATTCTCTTCTCGATTTTGTTGAACGTCGCGTAATGAATGGAGAGTTTTTGTAATCTCTTCAAATGATGGATTACTTGCAGTGGAATGAATTTGAGAGCTCCGTCAGAACGTACATTGAAGGCTAATCTTTCGAGGAATGGTTGCGAGTTAAAACTAGACCATATTGGGTCAGATTCTTCAATGCCTCCATTAAAGACCCAACAATCTGCTCTTCTAGCGGATTTAATTTCAGTGTTCTCACAGTAACAATGCACTTTCGATGCCCTGTCCGTTATTTCGCATACGTTATCTTTATTTTTACCAGCGTGATATCTTCTTTCAGATTTATCCCGACGTTGAGTTAGGCGGCTTTCAGTGTAGGATATTTGCACTGAAGTTAAAACTAGGGCTAGGAGTAAATATTGGACGACCGACTCCATAGCTTTTTGGTTATCTGGAACAAGTAAAGGCAAACAATTAAAAAGAGCTTAAAAGGAGATTACTTGGAGTAACTCGGGAACATCTGGAAGTTTCTATTTTATAGCATAAACGTTTTTTTATGGTGTCAATTGTAAATTCGTATTATAAATCACAATATAGTTTCTTGTGGAGTAAAATAATTATTATCTATACAAATATTATAAAGTAAACAGATTCGATATTTTGCATGTTTATTATTACAATGTTAAAATCACATGTAGATAAATAAATAATCTCTTAGTAAACTGTAATTTGCTAATCCTAGCAATATAGTAAGAAAGTATATTATACTTAAACATCCTTATTGTGTCAAAGTTTTTTTTATATCACAATTAAAAAAAAAAGAATGAATCACAATGGTGATTTATACAACACATCTAGATTCTTCCATATGACGCCCCTACGAACATAAAGTAAATCTTTGTTAATGAAATGGATTAATTACATTAATTGGATGAACTCACGTACCTAATCTAAATATAGCGCAGTCTAAATATAAAATATAACTCACACAGTGGTAACCTGTATTTGAAGATAATATTTAAAGGAAGGTGTTACATATGAATGTGGATGATTATATGGTTAGATGGTTATAAGGCAGAGGAAGGTCGAAAAAGAGATGGATGGACTGTGTGAAAGATGATATGATAAGAAAGGGAGTAAATAACGAGATGACTGCGAACAGGGATGAATGGAAGAGAAAAACATATTACGCCGACCACAAATAAATGGGATAAGGAAGAAGCACATAGAGTAACAGTTGTAATGTATGTATAAGGTTATATATATAACTAGCTGATACCGCTAACTCTGTTCCTTCTCAAAATTAAATGTTTTTTATAGTTTCGTTACCCCACCCTGTTTGACAGGTATCAACAGTTTGTATGGGAAAATATAATTGTTGTTTTTACTATTGTACATGCAATTTCTTCATATTAGATCACCGTTTAAACTTTCTCTGGACTTCCACGAACACTTCAAGACTAAAATTAGCCAAATTCGTTCGGCCGTTCTTCAGTTTTAATGAAACTAACGAACAGCAATTCATTTATATATATATAGATATATTAGTTATACATTAGATACTAATAGATTTTACAACCCAAGTTAGAGAGTTGAAACGCGTTGTATTCAATATAACAATATGTTAATAAAAATTTTCTATTTACAAATTGATTCGAATCAAAAACAGTAAATGTTATAATTGCTTCCTATAATATTAATATATGTGAAATTCACATTCAGATTGGTAAAGCCGTTTCGAAGATTAGCGCACACAAACGTACAGACAAAATTGTATAAACAGTTTTTCAATTTCCAACAAGCAATTTGATTGAACAAAGATTGAGTGTGGAGCGGTTTCTATGTTGATTGTCGCAAGCCTAATACTTGTTAATGTAAATCTACTTAAAACAACATTTATTTGAAAGAGCAACACACAAGTTTCTTGCTCATTCTTCTTGTGATGAGTCTGAATGAGTGGTAAATAAAAAAATGTGAATATTCAAAAGTGCTATTTCTGAACAATTCTTTAAAAATGCATATACGGTTGATATTCAATTTTACTATACATATGAAATGTATAAAACTGAACAAAATATTAATTATGGCAACAATGTTTTTAAATGGGTCAGCGTGGCGGCGTACATATTTTACAATTTTTTACCATCCATTTACTCTATTATAATGGAAATTAATTGCCGTACGAGTAGTGCACGGTTATTAAAACAATAGTCTATATGGTTTGGTCAGAAGTGCTTAATAAATTCAGATATATTCTCTCTGTGAGCGTAGTATAAATGGTAATGAATTTAAAGTTTAGCTGAGCAATGCACGTCAAATAAACTATCCTAATATTACAAAGAGATGCGAATATTATGCGAGGTAAGTAAACGCTAATATTTGAGAAAAAACTTCATTACTAGGGACTGGTCGGATCGGATTACGAACACTGATTAGACTATTTGCTTTTGAAATAGCATATGCTGGTTGTCACTCTATTCTTCCATATTTGAATTTAAAAATGAATCTGTATTATTGTAAACATGTACAACATTTATTTGAAAAGAATACGAGCTGAGTTTCTTGTCTTTTCGAAATCATTCCGAACTGACGGTAGATTTGACATATCATAAGTCTATAATAGACCTACATGAATAAAGATATTTTGAATTGTTTGAAAGAAGAAAGAAAAAAGAGAATATATATATTTAATACACACAGTAATAAAAAATGAAGAAAAAGATGATCAAACACAATTGAAGCACATTAGTGCTTCAATTGTGTTTGATCATCTTTTTACATCAATACATTAGTATGGTATTGAAAAGGTCCCCTTCCGTTATATACCGTGACTAAGTGTCACTATGCTGAGTAGTAATATATTAACATACGTACATATACATATACATCTACATAAAGTAGGAACCAACTCAATATCAGTATAGGATAAATCTGTTGCTCTAATATTAATATCAGAGCAGCAGATTTATTCGTAGCTTAATGCTAACTTTTTTTTATCCAACATAAAGCAACCTCCATTTCTCATGTTTTCTGTACATCAATTAAGCTAAATATTTCTAATTGGTGAATAAATAATTTATCTATCTAACAAGCCACATTTATAGTAATAATATTAATAGTTATATATTAAAGATTTGACATTTTTTTTTGTCAAAAAGTAATAATTCTTCGGTCAACATGTTATAAAGGGAGACACCCTAAACATACGTAGTATAATTTATGTTGAGCACGCAACATCACATACCTATTTGAGGAAATGAGAATGGGATTTTGCATTACTTTGGGGTGAATAAATATAAATAATGATAATATTTATCTAATAAATATGCGTTAATAGACTCGAGCTGTCATTAAAAGGTTTATGGTGAATAATAGCATAATGATGTCACTATATAGTACTTTTGAAAAAAAGTTTTAGTTAGTTATGGAGCAATCTCCTTGATAGGTTTTTATATTATTATTTAATTTTAAAATGATTTCAAAATTCAAAAATTGAATATTTGTAGCGTTCTATTACATATCGCTGTCGTATTAGTCCCATTTTCTTTTATCCCCGTATTCTCCCTTATAAAACCCTCAATATCTGTCACTCAGACCCATCAAATACCTCCAGGCTAGTTTCAAGTTAGTTAACAACAATAATAAATAGTAAAAATAATGACCGCGTCAAGTTTAAAACAGTATATAACAATAATAAAAACGAATAACATTAAAAGTTTGTTTTAATTCATTAAAAATGTAGAGCAATAACAAATATTTTGTTTGAAAATAAAGAAGATTTTAGTAACGACAACAATAAAAAATGAAGACTTTCTAAGAATTCGTTAAAAAATATAAGACAGAGTGATTGAAAAAGTACGTGTAAAATTTATGATGTTGAATACAATAAAACTGAAATTATCTTTATTAAAAATTTACTCAATTGTATCATTTTTAAATAGAATTATTTAAAAAGATTTAAATATATTTTTAATGCCATCGCTGATTCTTTCGGAATGAAGTAAAGTCAAGAAGAAATGGCAAGGAACTTGGACGTGCAGTTTTTGAACTAGTTTTAATATACCTCCCTACCTTACATATGCATAGTGTTATATTAATTCAAATGTATTAACCACTGGAATATCCATTTCATTGTAAACTTCTTTAGAATGTCTAGTAATTTCTTAATAAACTTTAAAGTGACATTAAGTAATATTAATAAACTTGTTAAAGCTGCTACCGAGACAAATATAATCTCAAACTATGCGGAGTTTACTTTTAGTTTCACAATGAAACTTGTTAAGAGCAAGTTAATCACTTCATTAACTTATGTAAAACATTAATTTATACTGTTAATATGTTCATTAACTTCTATCATATCGTGGTTTGTGTAGGTTAAAATTATAAGGGTTGTAATTGTTATATATGAAGTGAATATAGTAAGAATTATACTATCTATAAAAATAATTAATATTTTTTAGCGACTGTCCACGTCAGCATTTTTATTACTGTCTATGTACCTAACGTTATTATATCAGCGTTCTACCGTGCTATTCATTATTACGTATTTTTATTAAATTAAAATACTTCTATAGGTGAAAGAAGTTTAAGTATTTCAGTTTATGATCATTACAAACAAAAATTAATAATTACATAAGATCAGAACTTGCGTATTTAATTCTGTTTAAATGCAAATAAGTATATACAATGTCATTAAAATATAGATGGATATTGGACAAATAAACCACTTCCGGGCTGCGATGATGATGATGATGAAACCACTGAAGTAATATTGATAATGAAGTTAAATGACAAGGAAAGTATTTCATCATAGCTAGATAACTTTAGGTTAAATAAATGTGAAAACAAAATTAATCCCGAACGTTATTTAGTAAAGAAAATAATATGCTGTTGAAAATGTTCAAACGCTCATAGAACTTTTAGAAGTTTAATTTTAAAAATCGAGTAGTTTTAGTATATTCTACGATTAGGCCAAAGAATAGTATATTGAAACAAAATCGATCGCGATTACAATCGAGCACAATAAAGGCTCTCAAAATCGTAGATTGTATATTATTTGAAAATAGAACTATTGTACAATGTTATACTAGTTAGGACTAGCCTAAAGACTAGCACATAAAAAGAAAATCGATTACAAATGCAGTCGAGTCGACAATAAATGCTCTCAAAATGTTTAGAATGCTCGCAGCACTTTTAAATGTTTTATTTGAAAATCGAACTATTGTAGAATGCCATTTTATGAACAACGGGGAAAGAGCTGTTCATTATGCGAACCAACTCATTTACGTCTTTAATTAAAAACATTGGCCCGCCATCCTTCAGTTGGAGCCAGTTAATCAACTGGCAAGTGCAAAAACAGAGTATTAAGACTTTTTGTTCATCTCAAACGATTATTGGGCTTGGATTTTTAGCTCGCGATGTTTTCGCTCCGCTTAATTAAAACTGACAATG